CATCTATTTTTAAGAAGAGAGAAGCATCTGCACACTATGAAAATCTACAGAGAATAAAGCAAAACCTGTAGCAGGCAATGTAGTTAACAATACTGTTAATGTTGTTAATATTGTTTTATAGATTATATTTGCTGCATTGATTTGTTAATCATATAATATGACTTCTGCTTTGTGTTGTTTAGGTTATTTTTTATTTGTTGCTTTGTTAACAGTATTTTGCAGATTGCAATCATTTCATGGATGATTTGTTAATTATGCCATATGATTTATGATGTATTTGAGATGTTCTATGATGCTCTATGTTATTATTATTTATTGTTTGTAAGCTGTGTTGGGATTCACTTGAATGAAAAGCAGTATAGAAATATAATACATCAAGTCAAAATCAAACACAGCTGTAAATAAACCTTACTTGAAAACTAGAGCTAGAACTGTGAACACACAATTAACATTTTTATTTTATTTTAAGGATGGGACTGGGATTGCTTTGGAAAGGATAGAAAGCAAACACAAGTTGACCCAATGCCACCCAGCACTACCAAATACTTTCTTAGAGGCAAAACTTGGAGAGTGTTGGGTGGGATAATATTCTAGACTAGCCCTGCAGCTCTCATTTAGCAAAGCCTCTCCTCTTCACCAAGGGGAAGGGTTGTGGATGGGAATCGCTTCCCACGCTCGCAGGTGGGCCTTGCCGGGCCCCCTGCATCACGGAGTCCTGAGCCCACTTCATGCCCTTGAAGGGAATTCCATTAAAGGAATCTGGTGGCGGTGGCTCCTGTCTGATGCCCAGGTGGTGGCTAGGGCCATGGCACGACCTTCCGTGACTCTACGGGAAAGCTTCCAGTTGATTTTTGTCTCCAAGCTCCCCTTAAAGGTTGTTAACCCTTGTGTGACTCCCTGCAGAGCGGGCAGGAGTCAAGTATAGTCGGTTCAGATCCAGTGCCTAAGCCAATAGCACTCACATTCTGTAACCAATAAAGTTGTGGCCTTTTTTTAGCTCAATAACCTAAAATACTTGTGTCTTTGTGTCTTATTTCATCACAAAGTGGAGAGCGGGGCCTCGACTCACAAAGCCCATTCCTACCTGCACCCCACCAGCACTGTAATTAGAGAGTGTTGTCTGGAGTGAGATCATTCTAGCCCTTCTCCTGTTCCCCTCTCCCCACCTGATGTTCTCCTTGTATAGTGGTGTAATTAATAATTGTAACAGTTTGGAGACTGGCTGGCTGGCTTTCTGGGAGACTCTGTTGAGCTAGACATCGACATCATTTGAGACAACCCAAGCCACTTTGTTGTGTTTCGTAGGTGCTGCAATCCAAACCGCATCAGCCCAGTTCAATTTGGGATTTGGGATTCAGCCAAATCTGGTGCATAGCCCTACTGTTAAGCTTTAGTCCATCCCTGATAAACAAAGCTTGCAAAGCAGTAGGCCATGACTATAATGCAGTTGTTGAAGCATGAATGAATGAACATCAAAACATTTTGCTTTCTACCTTTCTGGCTAAAATCATTTTAAGCTTGTAGAGTTGTTAATGCAGCCTCTAGTGCTCAAGTCTTCAGTTTCCCGTTTGTGCCTCCCACTCCCCCCCCCAACTCTCAATCACTTCAGCTCTGATGTTCACAAACCATACAGCGCTATAATCCATACTTTAAGATGCAGAGACATTATAATTGACTTCTTCTCTCTTTCAGTTGCTCTGCGACAAGATTTTTTTTGTCACTTTCATGTTTAGAACCCTTCTCTCTTTTTGTCCACTATTTTAATCATTCCTCAATAAAGACAGCATTGGGGGGACATATATGTCTCTCATGCTGAGCCAACAGGATAGCTTTTAATTGGCTTTCATGAAAAGTTTCCTAGGTGTTTGAAGTGAGAGGGGTTTTTTTAAAAAAATAATGGGAGAATCTAATAAAAACCCTCAAGGAGATGTAGAATTGTTCTGCGTCCTCTTGCCTGTCCCACAAAGAAATCAGTTTTACTCCACTCCTGCCCCCACATAGCCTGCATGAAAATGTGTTGTTTTGAAGGGGTTTTCTAAGGGTGGGCGGGCAATGGTTTAGGTGTCCTAATGTTGAAAATTCAGTTTAAGAAAATGAGATAATACAATTCTATAAACCCTAAGTTTTCAGCCAGTATGCTGTGGCACCCTGCAGTGGCTTGAATGATGGTCAGGGATGCCACGAGCACCGGCCCCATTTTGAAAGAGTGCTACCCAAGTGTGTGCCTCTCTAGCCCATCTCTATGATCCCAGCTGCTGAGGCAGGACATGAGGGGCGCCTGTGAGGAGGAGGAGGAGAGGAGGAGGAAAGTGGATGGCTCATGGGGCCAGTGTGCTGAGAGAGAGGTGACAGTTGAAATGGGCAATGCAACTTCTTCCCACAAGGGCTATGGCAAATGTAAGCTCTACTTGGCAGGAGACCCATTGGAAGATAGCGGGGAAGCCTCAACCTGTTGACCCCAGTGGATTCTGCTCTTGAGTAGGACTTTGCTGGGCAAAGCTCTTCCTCATCCTCATTACTGGGTTGTAAGCAATGTTGAGTCCTGCTGAAGAGGAAACCCATTGAAATAGGTGCGTAATAAATGGACTGTAATAGTAATAATAATACTGTAATAATACAGTGGTACCTCTGGTTGCGAATGGGATCCGTTCCGGAGGCCTGTTCACAACATGAAAAGAGCGCAACCCACAGCGGTGCATCTGCGCACATGCGGGTTGCGACTCGGCGCTTCTGTGCATGCGCGTGATGTCATTTTGTGCTTCTGCACATGTGCGAGTGGCGAAACCTGGAAGTAACCCTTTCCGGTACTTCCAGGTCCCCGCGGGACATAACCTGAAAGAATGTAACACAAAGCTAACGTAACATGAGGTATGGCTGTAATATCCAAGAGAATGCCTACTGAAATTGATGGGTCTTCCCTGAGTAGGATAAAACCCATTTATATTGGATTGTAGCCAGTGTTAATCCTACTCAGTGTAGGCACATTGAAATTGATGGTTATAACTAACAGTGCCGTTGATTTCCAGTGAAGCCAGTCAGGGGTTAGAACATAGCAAGATGGAGCTCCTCAGCAACTTTCAAAACTAAGTAAGGAACAAAGGTAGGCATTCCAGTGACACACATGGTGGCCTAGAATGCAACCCCTGTGTAAGTGGGAATTCTCCTGTATCCCACAGGGGAGCCACAGAAAGAATGTCATTTGTCAAGGGAGCTGTGGACTCAAAAGGTTGAAAACCTCTGCATAAACAAGTTACAAGAAAGGAGATTCCAACTAAACATCAGGAAGACCTTTTTGATGGTAAGAGCTGTTTGATAGTGAAATTGACTCCCTGAGAAAGTGGTGGACTCTCCTTCCTTGGAGTTGATATTCATGTATTGGAAGGCGTTGGACCAGATGATCTTCAGGGTCTCTTCCAACTCTACAGTTCTAGGATTCTCTGGCATGTGATCCAGCTCATGTACTCACATCGTTGTCATAATGTGTCACATCATGGTATCCATTTTTGAATGTTTGAATGTTCCTGACTTCAGGTCTGTCACAAACATTTCTTGAGGATGGGCTTTTGGATGGCAATGCATTTTCCCCTTCGTAAGACAAAAAAAAAAAGGACTGTTGGATGAGGGGGGTGGGAAGTGCTGTGGAAAAGGAAGCATTGGGGACAAGGACTGATATGTCAGGAAACATACCAAACAGATCCAAAATTACCTGCCTTTATGATGGTTTCCAGTTGAGGTCCATTCTTCCAGATATGCCACAATGAGCTTGTGTGTGTGTGTTGCTCATGCACATATGGGTAACTGGATCAAGAAATCAGGCTGGGATTGCTTCCATGCCTTGTGGTTGTTTAGCAGCTAACAGAAGTGCTCCACAAGCTGGGAATAGCTGCTGGGTATATTAGGTAGTCCCCTTCATGGATCACGGCCTTGTCATGGCTTGAATAACTCAGAGAGGCTATGAGCTATGCCGTGCAGGGCAATCCAAGACAGACAGGTCATAGCCGAGTATTTAGACTAAATATGGTCCACCTGGAGAAGGAACTGGCAAACCACTCCAGTATTTTGCCAAGAAAACTCCACGGATATAAAAAAGGAGAAGCTTTGAGAAGAAAGTGAGAGTTTCGAAGGCATGCTCTGGTTCATGGGGTTACGGAGAGTCAAACAAAACTAAGACGACTAAACAACAACAAATATAAGGTAGTCACTAGACTACTGGGAAATGTTTATTTCTCCCAACCTACAAATCTAATTGAGCAGCCATTTTGGCTATATTTGATATTTGATGGTAGCAGAACCAACATGGCTCTTTCTGCCCATAGTAGACCATTTGCTAAATAAAAGAGGAAATATTATGGACTAGATTTTTTAAAGAAAGAGAGAAAGAAAGAAAGAAAGAAAGAAAGAAAGAAGTAGCTGGTTGGAGCTTTTTATTTCAGCCTTCAATTCAAAGTTTCAAATGAGATGTACTCTTGGACAAAGTTTTCCACTCTGCACTCTCTGACACGCACTTTCAAAACATACAAATGTGTGTGGGGAGCCCCCTGATTTTTCAGGCATCTCTAATTTGCTTTTGGGCAGCATTTAAGTAAGCTACAGAAACATATTGTCGCATGTGAGCTGGTACCTACTAATATGTGTGCAAGAAACTTCAGAGGAAAAGGTAGGGCTGAGAAACATAATTCATTTGCACAGTAGGCAGGTCTTTAAAAGCTACAGTGGATGTACTGCTGAAGTGTCATTTCTCTGTCAACTTATGTGTTTATAAGGGCTGCCATATTGTGTACAATATTAAAAGTAATTGCCAACGAACAGATTGTTATTTTTATTTAACAAACCAGATGTTATAAGTAAACATATTGGTTAGGAACATGCTGAAAGTGGCTTGCTGTTACAGCCTGTTGTAAATTAGTTTTTAAGCATCTTTGTGCTGGGGTCCTATGAATTTCCCCTTATGTGGAATGGTGATGGCTTAGATATTAAAATTGCTCTTAGAATGAATAAACTGTATGTGTGCGTGTGTGTGCGTGTATATATATATATATATATATACACACACATTTACACACACAGGATGCATATTTTTTACATTAAAATGTAGAAAAGCTAAGTTTATATTTCATATAATGTTTTATAGAAGGTATCCAACATTTATGATAAATTCTGTGTTTTACAGCTATCCTACAGACAGCAATGGATTTAGGGGCATTCCAGAATGCAGAGTCTGAAGGATCAGAGAAAGCTGCAAATAAGCATAGGTATTTTTTTTGTTTCCAGGGTCCAAACATTATTTCACTCTTGCCAATATTTAGCTTCAGTGGAACCACTTTTGGACACTACTTGAATCAACTTAGCACAGGGCCGTCTTTACCCGGGGGTGCAAGGGGTGCGGGGCAAATTCTGGGGGGCGTCTAAGCTCTGGTTTGTACTCTCAAATTCTGCCTAAGCTCTTAACTATCTACCTGTTATGAAATAATAAATATTTTTGATCAAGCTAGAAAAACAAAATACATCTATAATGAAATGTATACCTACTGTTTCACTAAAGGACTTTCGACTTTGTGCACTCATTTATCAAAGACGCGCCATGCCAGTGGCGGCGCTTGTCAGATGAGTCAACAACGGAGCTTGTAATTCTCAATGGCGCCATGCACGCAAAATTAACTTTTATAAATTATTATGTTACGTATTGTATTGAGCTGCAATGCGGCAGCAGGGTCAGCGGCACCTTTGACACGACTGATCTCGCGCCGCCTGCCTGCTGGCTGCATATAAGCCACACAAGATCAGTCGTGTCAAAGGTGCTGCTGACCCTGAGTGAAACATTGCAAATTGTCTTTTAATTTAATCACTTACAGTTCAAATTCGTTTAGAGAAATGGTTAAAAAAGTGTGGTGTCTGACATAAACATAATGAAAGTTAATTCAGGACTAAACCAAATTTGGGGGCACTGGGCGGATCTTTGCACCCCAGCGGCGCATATGCTAAAGACTGCCCTGACTTAATATAAGATGTATTGGCAAAAATCACGATGCAGAAAAATTTGTGAAGCCAGCCAATGCCTCTACATAGCTCCATCCTTATTTCAGGCATTGTGATATACTGGTATATCACAATGTTTAACTGGTGACATATCACGATGTTGAAAACCAGATATTCCCCAGCCCCACCTGCTGAACTAGTGGAAGTCCTCGCGTGGCCATCTGCCTGCAGGGCTATTTCGTGAAAGCCAGTCTAGAGATGTTGAATAGCTCACAGTATGCCTCGTTTCATGTCCAATAAGCATGGAACACCTTTGTTTGGTGGTCCTGTGGCCCATAGATTGCAGCAAAAGTCTGAGCAAAGGGCTCATGGGGAAAAGCTGTCCCACGAGTCCTTGCAAAGGGGAGGGGAAAGCATATATAATTCTGCTTCTCCTTGAGCTCAGGGCCATTTTGCCTTGAGAGCATCTTGTCTTCCCAACCTCAGGTTAGAGTCTTCACTGAGCAATTTTGGGTCAGTCATTGACGGGGCTGGAAATTACTATTTTTTCTCTCTCAACCTGATTGGCACTTGGTCGCTGTTTTATTTTCTACCTTTCCCTCAATGAAATTATGGCCTTCCTTTGTTACGCAGAAGAATGTTGTTTTTATGAGGGCAGAAATGGCATTGGGCTGAATCAACATAGTATTGGGGGGGGGGGCAGAAATGACCTGAGGGGAGGATTGACTATGGCACCCTAAACTTAGGTTGAGGTATCTACCTGGTAGTAATCAGCATCCTAGTCGCCCACTTGGCTTGCACCACGGCAAGGTTCAACACTGGTTGACTCCCATTACATTAATGTGGGGTTTGTGGAATGATCTGGCCTCAATGCCATGCCAACCCTTACCCTGTCTGCTGCTATCAATAAAGTTTTGGCCTGATTTTATCCCATCACCATTATACAGTCTGGTTATTTTGCTGCTCTCATGGGTCACATAATGTTCCTGCCTGGGCAAGTACGTGTTAAAAAGAACTAGTTTTGGAAACCTAAGAAACTTAAATAAATAACTGATGTGAGTGTGATGGAGTTTAACCCAGATCTTAAGGACGAGATTTATGCTGAGATTTATGTTTCCTAACTTCCTCAATACATGCAAGCATTACTTACTTTTCCAATTTTGCTCAGAAATGGAGGACGTGGGAGAAGAGCTTTTAGCAATGGCTTATCCCATTTCTGTAATATTAGATTGGCTGTCTCTTGCCTCCTCCTCCCTACAAACTTCAGAACATTTGGAGGATCAGTGTCCTGGTTTTTACAGAAAAGGGGACAATCTGTTTCAATATTAAGCACCGGGCTATTAGTTTATGAACCTGAATCAAGAGTGGAATCTGTGATATGGAGTCTAAAGCTGATTATGTGTGATCTTGTTAGGAAATGTCACTAGAAATTAGAGGAGTCTTTGCCAGTCGTTAGGGATGGTGAGGTAGGACTTATCATTTGAAAAGTGAAAACAAATTAAAAAGAAAATCCTTTCTATCTCAGCAGCAGAAGCAATATTTATAATCCCTTGAGATTTATGCCTTTATTTTAAATTTCATCCTTCATGATGTACTAACCTCTATGCACTTCCTTGGCCTGCAGGAACATTCCCAGTTCAATTCACTACTTCATCATAACAAAACTTATTTCAAGGTACATTAGGCCTCTCTAGCCAGGATAAGAAGGACTGTAATACAATATGTTTTGTATCAGGGGGGAAACAAACTTTCTTTTACTCAGCTGCCAGCAAGCTCAGATTGAGATAGGCTGAAATTGCTAGTAAAGTTTAACACTGATGGACATAATCCTCTGGGAAGTTTTCCTGTACATTTTAATGGAGTTTGCACAAAAGAGCTCCCCGGTGCATTCTGTCCAATGTTAGAGCCAAAGCAAATACTCTGCCTCTTAACATTCTTCCCAGCAAATCTTGCTGGTGAATATTTTCAGGGTGCATAGATATTTAGCATTTGATATTCAGCAGCAGCATTTCACACTAGAGATTCTACTGTAGCAGTCAACACTTGATGTGTCTGATGCTGGCATGCAGGAGCTGTCAAAATTTGATAACAGCCAATGTTTGGTAGCCAATCTGAGCCAGCTGGCATGAGGTATTCAATGTGTTCCAGTATTCAATGGATTTTGAAATCCTGCAAAAGTTAATACCTGCTCTTCCTCTAAAATGTGGGATTAAAAGGAGAGGTGCAACATTATTTCCGGGTAGATTTTTGAATATTAATGTAGTAATATTAGTAGAAGGAGAAATATTGGGATTTAAATTAATTCCATTATCGAAAATGGGAATCTAATTAGTTCATCTGCTAATTATGTGCTTAACTATCTCACTGAATTTAATGAAACGTAAACATGCTTAGTTAGCTGGTTTACGGCTGCTTTTTTGTTTGCTTGCTTTTTGATCTGTGAGAAATGTGAATTTGTAATTTTAAAATGTTTCCAAGTTGTTGTTTTTTTGTAAGTTCTCTGCTGGATATGGATTGTACCCAGAGTAGGACCCATTCACAGTTCTGCTTTCCCTGCTGCTTTCCTCAGGGAAAACCCGCTGGAATTGGAGCAAATAACAATCAGGTTTTCTCTGAACTGACATTTGCTCTGATTTAGCACTAAAAAGTGGGTTTTCTGGGAAAAGCAGTGGGGCAAAGGCAAAACCACTTGGGCTCATGCCTAGAAAGCATGGGACAAGCAGAAAACCTCTCAGACCAATGTTTTGTAGGCATGGGACAAGTGAAAATGTGGGTGAGCCTGTAGTTTGACTATTTACATGTTGTCTGGGGATTTCTTAGTGACCTGCTCAAATGGTTGCAATTTAGCTTTCTCTTCTCTGACAAAGTGCTAAGGGTTGATCACAATAATAAATGGTAGGGTCAACCCTCAATTATTGTGGAAATGGGACTTCCCCTTCCTCTCTCTCTGCATTCTGCTGTATACCCCCATCCAACCCTCAAAATGCATTATTGCACAGTCATACCTTGGTTCTCAAACATAATCCATTCTGGAAGTCTGTTCGACTTCTGAAACATTCAACATTCTGCACTCAAGCAGAAGCCGTGTCAGACGTTTGGCTTCCAAAAAACGTTCGAAAACCAGAACACTTACTTTTGGGTTTTTGGTGTTCGGGAGCCAAAACATACGAGTACCAAGGCATTCGAGAACCAAGGTACGACTGTATGAGAAAACTTATTTAGAAATGCAATAATAAGTATGCATTTCAATGCTAATTTTCATGCACTTTTTTTTTAAAAAGTGCAAATTAATTCAGAAATAGGACCAAATAAACTTATGAGTGAATGCAGAGTGACAAAGACCCTGAATAGAATTATTTGTCCATTTTCATTCAGTTACTGTAGAGCTATGACTCACATTCTCTGTTCTAATAATGAACATTATATTCTTTATAAAATCAATATGGTTTCTTACCATCAAAATTTGGATCACTAGGAAAAGCCATACCGTCTGCCCTAAAACAGTTTGATCCACTCAGCTTCCACTGAGCACTAGTATTCTTTTACCCGACAGAGGGGGAAAAAATCTTGTCACCCAGTTATATAACTTCAAATTATGTTTGCCCCATCAACAAAAGTTGATTGGAAAAAGCTAAAAAAAAAACCAAACCCTGTCCTGTCCTGTCTCCAATTCTGAAATGCTGTAACAGAGCCATTTCCCATCCAATTTATATGAAATTCAAACAGCCAGTATGCCTCAATCAACCCTTCCAAATTTCACTGATTGAACAAATCATCTCAATTTTATAAGGAATTGTATTTTTGTGGGTTGAAGAGAGAATCCTGTGCACTTTCAGTAGAGCCACTCATGGAGCTTTGCTACAGATGCGCTTTCTGTCTCTCCCTACTGAAAAACATGGCAGCTGAAAAGCACTACAACATTAAATGTACACACAGTGGATTTTGAAATAGTAAATGAAAAACACCCCTTGTCAACACATTTAAATTTTCTTAAACATATACATCTCCAGACAGATAATCGATCAAATGTTAGCTCCCATAGCAAATAAATGATTGGGAATGAGCAGGGGGTGGAAGGAACTTTTAATTTTGAAACTACTGTAGCTGGCCCATTTTTCATCCAGTTTTAGGAGCTAACATAATTTGAAGTTATGTAACTGGATGACAAGATTTTTTCCCCGATGTCAGGTGAAAGAATATTAGTTCTGAGCAGAAGCATTCAGGCCAGTGATTTTTGGATACTTTTGGGGAAGAAAATACCTCAAAACCTGGGGTGAATGAGGTGAGTGGGATTACCTATAAAGATGAATACTGTACCGTTGAGAGTTGTTGTTTGTTTAACAAGGAAGACCAAGGAACATTCCTTTTCAAATGTTGCATAGGAATAAAATTGTGTTGTGATGCAGCATTGTTGACAGGGACATTCTTAAGGAAGCTGTGGCCCCTTTGAAACCTTTTTACCTCAGGAAAGTTATTCATATCCTAAGGCATGTGGCACTTTGCATCGTCCTGGTTATCTAACCCCATGGGGAAGGCCTCAGGTTCCACCTCTCAGCACTGCAGTATTGCAAAATTTTGATTTGAAAAGGCAGGGACAATGAAGTTACAGGAAAAGGAAATGAGAGTCAATACTGTGGTTCTTTGTTGCATTACCCTCAAACTCTCTTGTATGCCTCCAACTTTAGTTCTCCCTTGAAAGAGGAGCCCCACCTTCTGGAGCTCAGTGTGAATGAGCTCCAGGTACTTTCCTGCCACCTTTTAGGATGGTTGAAATTTAGTACTTTTCCCAAAGTTGACTTAAGTGTTGCTTTTCTACTGTACAAAAATGTACTCAGCCAGATACTGATCTTAATGCTTTCAGTCTAAATTTAGAGGAAACCCACTGGAAGGCACTTTTGTTTTATTTTATAACAACTAGAGTCCCCTGCCTCTAAAAAAGCTTTTGTAGTCTGGATTGGGACAGGGATCCCAACTGAGGAAATAGACAGTGGTCCAAGGGGTGTTAAGCATGGCTGTTATCACAGTTAAAATACAGTTATGTTCTAATTACTCAAGCTGTATAGGACTTTAAAGACCAATATGACATGTCCCACGCAGAAGGTAGTGGATAGAAAAGACACAAGAGAACTGAGTTCTAATTTCATCCATTCCAGTTACCACATCACATTCTAGTTCCTAAGGCTGTTTTGAGAAAAAACATTGGATAGTGCTCATATTTGATACCTTTAGGTTCAAAGAGCGATTGCAGGATATAAATGTGATAAACAATAGCCAGTGCATTGCACTGGACTCAAAAAAGAATAAAAGCTGATTGAGAAATAATGTTATGTATCATTTTATGGTTAATCCTGTCATGGCTAAAGTTGGACCAAAGGTGGGAAGCCACTCTGCATGTTTTGGATAGAGGGATATGAGACACATGCCCAGTGGTGGGGCCAGCAGTGGTAGGGAACCAATTAAGACAATCCACGCTTGGAGACTTATGGAGCCTAAGAAATTCCTAAACGCTCTGGGGACTTTTCAGTAGATAGAACAGGTGATCCTGTTGTGGCTCGTGTCTCACTGTGGAATAGTGAGATGGGAAGGGTTGTGTGTCGAGGTCCCCAGGGCCACCCCAATAACTCACACATCACGCAAAATTTTTGTTTAAGATTTTTGGCATAATTTTGGCCACAACTTTATTAAAATACAAATTTGTGAGTGGTTGCTTAGGCATTGGTTGTGACTATCTGCCCCTTGCACGATGCGAAAGTCAGAATAGGGGTATACACTTGGGGGTAGCGTCAGAGCAGGGAACCTGCCCTCAGCCCTCCCCAAATGCAACCAGGAGCTCATTGCTATGGCCCGAGCCCCCTTGACAGAGTGGACAAGCAATAGTTAGCCCCCGATTCCTTTAACAGAATCCCTTGCAGCAGCAGCATTTGAGGGGCAGGCACAGCCAATCCATGCCCCTCAACCAACCAAACCATAAACCAATGCCTAACTGCGAACCTTACAAGTTGTGACGATTTGCTACGCAGTAGGCAAAAACCAAATGGCCCCAGCCAATCAGCCAGATACACAAAATTCCTACTGGGCCCCTGCCCCAAAGCAGGCGACCCCATGACAGGCATAGCAAGGTCAAAGCGAACAACCCTATTCTAGGGAGGGAGGGATGGGCAATCTGATGCACGGGCGAAAAGAGGAAGCCCTAGCCTCGTGCAAGAAGTTTTAGCATTTCTGGCTGTCAATCAACAAATGGCAACATTAACTTCTTCCCAACAACAAGGGAAGCCCCAATCACATCAGTGGCCAACGGTCAATTAGCCCGTCCCCAACTTTGGAGTGTCCTGGTGGCCCCCACCGCAACACGTGCTCTCCATGAAGGAGAACACGCTTTATTGACAAGATTGCCCCTGAGTGCCTTCTCTGACACTGTGGGGTCTACAATGTCGCCTGGTATTTTAGGAGACTATATGCAATGAAACAGGCTAAGCAATGGCTCATGCACCGGTGGCATAGAACTTACTCGGAGGCCGAATGAGCACCACTTAGAGCATATATCACACCTACCATGTGATTACTTCGCTGCCTCTATTGCATGTGGACAAGCCCATTATTTTGGTACAAGAGTAGCTTAAGATACCACAGCAGAACCTGCAAAATCCTTTTCACGGCACAGTACTTGAATGGCCCTATTGTGTAGAAGGCAGGATAAACCGTTGGCTGCCACTCAGGGTGGTAAGATTGACAACTTGTTTCACATAGCATCTACAAGACTGCTCAAGTACAGATGGGTTAGGAGGAAAGGCACAAACGTTAATGCTGTGAAATGCCATCTCTTTAATTACATTGCATGCAGCAAGCTTCACACCTTGAGGGACAGATGGAAATAGTTGGAGAAGCTTAGAAAAAGCAGGTGTCATTTATTAAGGTGGGGACTTTAGCTTCTCTACTTCTCCAACTTTGACATCAGTGTTGTTCAAATTCCCCTGATTTCAATTTGAAAATGGGATACCATTTATGTTTGGAGAAAATTTTAAAAGCTTCCCCAGTCCCCAAAGGGGTTTCTAGGTTGACTTGCAAAGTTGCTTGCATTATATTAAATTGGCTTAAAATTGCATCTATTATTTCTTCCTGCCTCCTGGAGACTAATCATAGCTCTTACAGAGTGAAAAAAGCCTCAAAGAAGTATTTTTCAGGTTTGACAGATTGCGCATGTACATGCAGGTGATGCTCCCAAATCCTGGGGGGTGTGAGATGAAGCTCTGCAATCCCTGAGCATCTCTGACCAAATTTCCAACCATATGGTCTGCTCTTTAAAATGATTTATAATATAATCCAAAGTGTGTTTGCTCAGAAATGATTCCCCTTAAAATCAATGGGATTTACTCCCAGGCAAGTGTGCATAGAATTGGAGCCTGAAAGTTCTAACTAACAAAATATTTTTAGAGGTGGAAACAAAATTGAATCTGTCCTATTCAGTTTGAACAATCACAAGATAAAACATCCCAATTTTATTGGGTGGGTGGGAAATCTTTCTGACTTTCTCAAAGCTCCATATGGTTTTATCCCTCCAGGGGAAAATCTATATCAGATAACTAAACACTTTGAAAAGCTGACAGAAATAGTGGGAGAGCGGGGAACAGACATTTTCTATTCAGGCAGTCTTACCATTATGTTGCCATATGAATGACGCTAACCACACCTCTGTGTTTATCTTATCTGCAGAATTCACATCAAATATTATTTAATTTCAAGCTAGAAACTCAACCTGAACGCTCACCTCGAATTTATTTTATTGAACACTTGTGCATGTCAGATTGTCAACTGGCTGCACTGATTAATTCTGTCTCTCTCTCTCTCTCCCCCCCCCCATTCCCCAGCTCCATTCTTTCACTTAACAGATCTATTCCCAAAGATATTGTGCTTAATATAGACAACCAAGGAAGCAGCAACAATTCCAATAAATGGTTGACATTTCGGGGGTTGTGGGAGAGCTTTTTGGGGACAGGTTTGAGGAAGAATTGCAGTGGGGGTTAGGCAAGAACCTTTATCTCTGATTATTGGCCATGCTGGCTTGGCTTGAGGGAAGTTGGGGTCCAACAACATCTGGAGGGGGCTACATTGGCTGCCCCTTGTTTAAACAGTAACAATATGATGCCTTTTCCAGGGCACAGGAGCAAGACATGAAGATGACAGCCTTGTCCTGCTTTCTTCCTACTGCCTGACTCACCCTCTGAATCAGCTCCTACTCAGGCTACACCTCCTCTCTATGGGAAGACCCCATTTACTTCTATCTGCTATGGTTGTAAGCACTTATAGACATATCCACCACCAATGTTTCTCTGCCGTCCACGATGCTCACACAATTTCACAAACTTTTCAAATGTACTTTTGTGTGTGTGGGGGGGTGCTAATTCTTTGTGACCCAGATTCTGGTCTTGTGTGCCTCCCCCTACCTTTGCAATGGCTGCCTATTTCTCTACATTTCTCCTGTTATCCTCCTTCGGTCATTTTGGTAAAACTGGTGCAGGGCACAAAGTCCTGTTTCCCTTAGCATAATCCTTCACTTCAATTGATTCTTTCTAGTCACTGTCTCTCGCCAGTTTGACTTAAAACGTTATTAGGGATGCGTATCAAGTATTTTAAGTGTCTGCAGCAGATGCTTGATCACTGTTGTCCTACCCTCTCCACCCTCATTTTGACATTTTCCCCATTTGAAGGCACTGTCAAACTATCATGGCACACAGCGAGGGTCTAAAAACGACATCCTTGCCAATTACTGAGTCGGTGCTGACTCAGCCTAAGTCACAGGCATCGTTGAGTCATGCCTTGTTAGAGTTCTAATGCCAGGAACAAAGACCCCTGATTCATAAAGCAATTTGCTCATGATTCACAGAGCTCCCCCACTTCATCGGAGAAGTGTCTCATGCCTGGTTTTTGAGTCAAATCTTTTTCATATTCTCTCCTAAATCCTTTCCTTTTTCTAAGCTGAGGCAACTTCATTGAGCCTTATTCCAGCTCTCATCTGATCTCAGAATCACCATGTGTGCTGTATGATTCATAAATACCTTTTTAGTTTCCTGTTGATTATGCTGTGAGCACCAGAATTGCAGAGCAATCTTCTACGTGTTAAGTATTTTCAAATGCGTCTGTTTTCCTTAAATAACTTTTTTTTTTTAAGTACACTTTTGAGCCCCAGAATTTTATTTTGTTTAATGTCTTGGGTTTTTATATACAAGAACAGATGCTACACATCTCTTCTTATTATAAAAATCTTTTTTAATGAAAAAAAAAAGAATAAGATAATAATATCAGAAAATCACTTTCTGCTGCAGCCTAGGCAATCCCTGAGCTTTCAGTTTTGAGTAGTTTCTGCTCTGACTAGCATGTAAATTAAGGATTTATTTATCTGCACATTTTCTTATAGCATGAACTACAGGATATCTCTATCCTAAGCATGCAGCTGATTGCCATGGCAGAGACCCTTTTTGAAAACTTTGCCATTTTTATTTTTATTTTCATGAACTTGAAATAAGGCATGAAATCAAAGCCACCTCCCTGCTGATCACCTGCTACCTGGCTGAGAATGGGGAAGTTGAAGGTGGGGAAATGTTGGAGACTTGACAAAAACTTTTTCCTCTAATGTATTAGGAACCAACCATTCTCTTGATTTGTGAACAAACTCTTCTGTTAGCTGAGGTTCAGTTATTTGATTTAAAAATCAGCATATAAAGTAAAAAATTTAAATTAATCTGGAATCATGTAACAACGTCTGCATGCACACTTACCCATCTATAGCACAAAAATGTAGTCTTTCTCAATCCAGAATCATTCCTGTTCATCTTCAATAGGCTGCTGTCAACCTAAATTGATTATAGATACCGCTGCCCACAAGGGTTAATGTGGTTACTTGGTAAAGCTTCCAAAAGCCTCTTCTTCATTAGGTTATCAGTGGCTTTTTTCTCCCTGTACATGCCCCAGATGAATGATGATTATGCTGTTGGTTATATCCCATGGATTCTTATATCATATGGAATTGATCTCCTGATGAGATGGTATCTTCAGGAGGCCATCTCCTGCAGAGTGTGGTGACCAGAGGCATATAAACAGTGAAACAATATTTTAGGGTCATCCAAATACAATGGGAACCATGGCCCTGGTGTTCCTGAGGTCCCTACTATGGACAGTCAGAAGCACGGGACATGGCTAGCTTACCCATTTTTATTTTTCATTATATTTTCTATGATTACTGAACTGCATGCTGGGATGGCCTGACCACTGTCCCAATAGCATGTAAGAGTAGGGCTTCCCTGCTGCTATAGTCAAAGTACTGTCCTGTGATCCTTGGATGGAGGGTGGTATATAAATTTAATGCATTAAAAAGAAGTAAGTATTAAGAACCAGAAAAGTGGTGCTAACAGCATATGGACAGATGGGGTTGCTGTGCAAGGAAGGCTCCTATATTCTGTGCTTTGGATGACATAATTATGGCCATGATACTCTGTACTGTCTGAATGGCCTCACATAGAATGCAGGTGCAGCTAACTCAGGTTATTTTACTGAAACCTATTCTCAGTGATGCTGAATGAGATCACCCATTATTTGTTCAAATTGGACTAAAAAAGGAACATATGGGCCAATCTTACGAGCACATTTTTAAGCAATGATGATGATAGAATTGGGCGTGAAGGCTTTGACATAGGTGTAATTGTATCATCTGCCTATTCACTTGCCTGAGGCCTACAGCCAATTTGTGACAGCTATGAGCACATTTCTGCAGTCTCCTTGAAAGACAGCTGAACTAAGTTTTAAAGTAGGGCTGCCATATGTCCAGAATTTCCCAGATATATCCAGGATATTTCCGTCGGAAATAGCGTTCAGGAGCAATTTCCGAAAATCGATAAAAATGTCTGGGGAAACCCAGGCACATGGAAACCCATGTCAGAAATGTTAGGGTTTTGGGGTGAACTGTCTTAAAAAATAGTTCCAAAACCTCATCGGGGGTGGGGAGATTGTGCAAAAAAAAAAGGCTTGACAACTTTTGTGACTGGGTTTTCATTTTTTTGAAATATG